TTTTGAAACAAAGCCTTAAATTGTCAAAGTAGTATGCAAATTTATATTTTTAAGTTATTCCCAACTGTTGTAACTTGCAGAAATCTAAGCTTTCTATAATGTTCGTTATATTACAGTTGGGACTCCAAATACATTTGCAACTCCACATGCAGTGGCGGGAAGCAAAAAAATATTTAACACTGCAATTGATTAGGTTGCAGACAGGAGGAACTGGATTTCTACAACATACTCTGGTCAAGGGAAATATAAATAAGTAAAACTGAGATTTTGCACAATGAGCCGATCCATGGTTATATTTATAAATGTGTATGGCAATTTGTATTTATAATTTTTTGGTAACCCTGCTGTTGACTGCTTATTTGGATTAATCATGATAACAGTTCTTGATGCAATTCTGCCCTGTACTTCCAGGTAATCAAAATAAAACGCAATGAATCTAGTCTGAGTGTTTTGTTGCAAACAATTAAGAACTTACTGTATGCAGCACGTATATTTAAGTATGTGCTAATTTTCAAGTTTGAACAGGTTAGCTGGCCTGTTGCTCTTAACTTACTCAAGGGAGGAATGGCAAGGGTCTTCTACTATTACCTTCTCCCACACATGGCCATGTAAGACATTTTCCTTAAGGTGATTGGTCAGATAGTTAATGTGAACTGAAGGTAGCTCTTTTGGGGGGGGGAGGGAGGAGAGGCAGGAGAAGAGTAATTGCTCCTCTCTCTAGGGTCCCACTCTCCCTTTGCAGGCTTTGGTTCTTGGCTTAAACTCCACAGGGACTGACTAGGGATCTGACTCTTAAACTTGCTTGCATACATCAAGTAGTGTTACACTATCACTAGCTAACATCCTGTTTCTGCCCACTCACTTGAAGTTTAAAAAACGAACAAACTCACAATGTGAATTCCGTGCCTTTATGGTTCATATCAGTTGTCATTTTAGCAATAATCCTGTAGGATGATCTCATCACTTTATATATCAGTAGATCTAAGATTTTAATAATTACTCTGACTAGGACATTGTGGCCTAGTGGGCTCCTTCCATTCCTCCATTTTTTCTCTCCCACAAGCCTTCTGTATGCCACCCCTATTTTCAGGGGCTCTCTCCATTGCCCTTTCCCCTATGCCAGGGTCTGTGTGTGCCCTCATGACATGGTCCTCCAGTCTTCCCATCAGTGTTTGTGTCCCCATACCAGGGGCTCTGTGGAGACCTATTCCCCCCACAGCCCACACACCATTCTTATTTTGTCTTTATCCAACTTTCTTTCAGCATCATCACTTTCAAATTGTATTGGGAGGAGGTACTGTTATGCAGGAATGTGTTTAAAGGCTGCCCTCAACCCGTTTTTTGATCTATAGACCATTCTAGAGGTGGTTGGAGCTGCTGGCTCTGCTAACCAGACACCTGAGAGGCTCTACCTTTCCCTTCCTTTCAGTTTTATCACATTACAGGCAAACATACAGAGAAATGCTTCTGAGTTGAATGTTAGACCTTCCTTCACTCAGCCAGTAAATCTAAAGACCATGTGTATTCTAATGTCAGGGTGGGGGAATAAGAGAATGAATGTCTCCAATCTGTCATTAGCCTTAGTTATCAATCATATAATGTCAGTAATAACTGTTACTGGACCAACTTTTGTTGGTGAAAGAGACAAGCTTTTGAGCTACACAGAGTTCTTCCGGACTGGGAAATGTACTCCATATCACAGCAAAATACAAGGTGGAACAGATTAAGCATAAGGAGTTAACACATGTTGCAAAAGATGGTTCAAGATGAAGTAGGCAATTAACACCTCTGCAGTCATAGGTCAAAGGAGGGTTAGTGGGTTACAGATTGTTGTAATAAGACAAAAACAGGGTCTCTAGAGAACAATCTGTCCCACCTTGTATTTAGCTGTGACACTGAATACCTTTCCCAGACCTGAAGAAGAGCTCTGTGTAACTCAAAAGCTTGTCCCTTTCACCACAGATGTTGGTCCAATAAGAGACACTACCTCGCCTACTTGTCTACCCTATATCATGGGACCAACATTACTACATCAACACTCCTAATAAGTCATCTGTCAGTTGTAGATGTTCTTCATGTATTAAAATTATACATTAGCATTTCATCAGACAACAAAAGTTACTTTCAAACTAACAATGCTGTCTCATTTGAATTAGAAGAAACTATTAGTTGATATTTCTAACCAGATAATTTTATAGCCCAAAGGAATTTTATACACATTGAAGAAAGAAAGCGAGGTGTAGGTGGTGAAGATAATGTGCAAACTGTTAAGGGAAGGCTCTAATTTAAATTAATGAAATCCAAGAAATATAAGACAAAGCAAGTGTGCAGCCGCCAGAGGTAAGGGTGTGCAAAGTGTCTGCTGTGTCCTGTGCAAATGAATTCCAGGTTTGCTGAGGGTGGGATAGGTTTTAGCACTTCGTTCATCTGTAGATCTCAAAGAACTTTACAAATGAAGGCAAGCAGAACCCTCATTTTACAGATGGGGAAACAGCCATAGTGATGAAGTGACTTGGCCAAGGTCAGTGGTAGAGATGGGAATAAAAAACCAGGTCCACTCAGTCCTAGGCAGGTTTGCCATCTAGTGGTTCATACTGCCTTCCTTTAAAGCAGAAATAGGGTGAAATCCTGGCCCTGGTGATGTCAAAGACAAAACTCCCATTAACTTCAATGGAGCCAGGATATCATCCATGATACTTAAACTCCCTCATATACACACACAATAAAATCCGTTCATGAGAATTTTTTTTTTAAAAATCTGTATACGCCATCTCTGTGAATCTCCTTTTTAGAGGTGGTAAGCATACCACCCCTCAATAATACTTTCACCAAATAGGATTTTCTTATTCAAACATTGTTTCACACAAAATTAAATCACAAAACATGACCAGCACACTGATCTAATATATGTAGGTATTCTGTATAGTTTAAATGAAAGCAAAGCATTTGTGAGGGATAGGAACAGTCTTATAACCAATATAAACAGTTTTGATTGGCAAAAAAACAATAGTAACAAATAACTACACCTGTCCTGCCAATGGGGTTACGGTTATCTGACACTCCCAAGTACTCTGAGCTGACTGTAGCTCTGGAATCTATCTTTTGGTTTAATGCGATGTAAAAAATAATATTTTAGCCCAAACTATTTCTTTTTTTAAAAGCATAAGTCCTACATTTTTATTGGATGTGAACTTCCAAGATTGGGCCTTGAATTCTGTTACCTGCCTTGCCATTTGGCCAGACTAATCTGCCTTCCACAAAGCCAACAAACAAGGAAGAGCTGCGAACAGCCAGGAACCTTTGGCTGGATGTGAAGATGAGTATGAATTTGATCATGATGAAAAGGTGGCTAGAAGCTTGTGATCATGTCTTTTTGCACAACGACTGCCCAATCAACAATAGCAATACTGAAGCTCATATAGCACGTTTATTTCACATGAGATTTTAATTCTAAATTATGTCTCAAACTTGCAATGTGATTGCAAATCAATACTTTGGACAAGATTACACCTGCCTTCATGCTAGAGCACAAAGGAGCAAGTCTGGACACCTGCAGCCGTGGTCTTCCCCTTGTGTCAGGTTTAGGCTCTGTGTAGGATGCTGTGGATCAATCCAAACATCTGTGACATAGTGTGCTACTTTGGAATAAATTCCTCAGTGGCCCTATATTTTGCCATAACTTCATGGCCAATACAAGTAACATTATAGCACCTACTAGTGTCACCTTCATAGGCAGGGAATAACATGAGACCTATAGGATGAGTTCAGAAAACAGCTGGGTAAGGGTCTGTAGAAGTATATTAGGATTCCAGGTGGCACTATAGATTTTCTGCTGTTCCCTGAAAATGTGAGACACACAGAGTGATGTGATCTTAAAGGGTTGCCAAGATGGGAGCAGCAAAGAGTGTTAAGTGCAGACACCTGTTTCATAAGAGTGGTACCTGCAAGGCCCAAGATGAGTCAAACTTACCAAAACTGAAACACAGAAGGACTGCATTTGACATTGGTCACTATTTTTGTTTTTACACCATTTCCTGTTGTGATTCTAGTTTTTTGCATATACCATAGAAAAGGAAGGTTTCCTTGCAGCAAGAAAAGTATATTTGTTACTGAATTGGATTCTCCTATTATCTGTACTGAGGCCCCTTCATGAACCATGCTGTTAAAGAGGCTAGGCCGGGCCCCTGCCTGAGGAACTTTTCCCTGTGTGCTGTCCTAGACAAACATGGAAAACCAGAGCCGCTAGGATTATCTGAGTTCTGTCCCATTTGATTTGCTGGAGAGAGGCTCAGAGACAATGAATTTATCAGTTGTGGGACAGAGTATCTACCACAACTGCATTGTGGTCATTCCCCCACCTCTCCCCCGCAAACCCTGGCAAAACTGTCTCTGATGTCAGTGGGACTGGAATTTAGTGTGTACTAGTGCCTTAGAATTCTGGAACCTGAATTACCAGGTAAACTTATTTCAGGGTTGTTTCCTTTTTTAAAGTTGAAGCAGATAAAAATGTATTTAAGATTTTATTTTACCCAGTTTAATAATCAAGAACCTAGGTATAACCATCACCTTCTTTCCATGAACCAGAAAAGCATCTTGGAAATAGATACCATATTTCTGATAATGCAAAAATTATCATCTTGCCTTTGATCCATCACTTGCACCAGTTTCCTTAGCTGCATAGAATGACTCAGCTTCTCTTTTTCTCCAACCCAAATTACATTGCAGTAAATGTTCTGCTATATTCTAGAGAAACTGAGGATTGCTATTCTTCCTTCAATTGCCATTTAATATTAATAGGCTTAATGTATGTGCATAGAGCAATACTGGGAGAATTTACTAGGCCTAATTTTGATTTTAGTTGCACCAGTGTAAATCCAGCATAATTCAGACCAGAAGTGGGCTTGTTATGCTTAAGAATGTCAGGGAGTTAAACAGACAGGTGCATCCTAAAAATCCCCAAATAAGAGCTAATTTTTTGTGAAATATTCTTTTCAAATTTGTCAGTCCTTAATATTTATTTTCTTGCCCCACTGACCTTGCTTCAACATATTAAAACAAGACAAAATCACCATAACTGATTTTCTTTAGTGTTGCACTAGATTATAAAATATGATTTAAGGATAGCAGTAACATGCTATGGAGACATGAGATTTTCTTTGTTTCAGTCTTTAAGCCAACAGTCCTGTTAGGTTGAGAGAACAACTGCAAATGCTGGAAAAGCTTCAGTCTTCCTGAAGTTCAGTTACCTTGCATCGTATTTTTTTAATGTCTTTCTGGAATTTCTTTTTTTCTAGTTTCAGTTTTGTCGTCTGTATTTGTTGGAGTGAGTTGAGAGCTTCATGAATGGACTGAAATCCTGGTGTAAAAATAGGTATATTTAGTTAAATTATGGTCAAAGGCTTTTATGCAACCCTGCAGTTATTAGCTACTATTTAATCTAAAACCCATTAAAACCATTCTATCTAATCTGTTTTATTGCATGTCATGGAGATGGCTTTAGCATTTTAAATGATAACCTCCTTGTTATTGGAATCATGTCTTCCTGTGCACTGGGCAGCACCAAACATACTGGCAGTGCTCCCAAATTACAGCAATAGTACCAGAACCTGCATCACATTTATTGGATGTGAAAATTGAATTCTATATGATGTCCAGAAACTTAACAAAAATGAAGTCCTGCTTGTTATTGAAGTTACCTTTCTCCAGCTGTGCAGTTTCACTGTTAAAAGCATGACTAATGCACTGTTTATCCAGTAACTGATTTGTAAGTCTATAATCATTACTTTTGGACCCATGAAATTCTCTAATCACATTTACATACCCCTGGGAGCATTGCTACTGCAAGTGACAGTATGTCAAGAGATCCCTGCACTTGCACAGAGCACCCCCCTTGAAGTCAAGGGAGCTGAGTGCCTTTGCAGCAATCATCCCACATGCTATCAATTGCAGATGTAGAACCTAATCCGATAGTTTTAGCCAGCAATACTGTAAAGTAGGCAGAGCCTCTCTCAGGGCTCACCCTCAGGCAGCTTCAAAGCCCTTTCCCTCTTTCTAAAGTCTTTTGGGGTTGTGGTAAGTCTTGGGGCAGCAGAAGTTTGTCAGCTGTTTCCCTTTCAGCTCCTTTCCTTCTGGTTGCCACCCCTTCCTGTGACCAGCTTAGAGTGACCAGACAGCAAGTGTGAAAAATCGGGATGGGGGCATGCGGGGGAGAAATAGGAGCCTATACAAGAAAAAGCCCCGAATATTGGGACTGTCCCTATAAAAATCAGGACATCTGGTCACCCTAGTCCAGCTCTCCTTTTTAAGCTTGCTTTCTCCAACTTGCACAGCAGGCTGTGCAGCCATGTCTATTTGATAAGGATTGAGCCTAGAGGAGCTTATTAGCCTTCTTCTGATTGGGATGGGGTGTGCTCCATCACAGACAAGGTTGCTGTAGGGCTGGTGTCTGACTCAGACAACTCATCATCTGTTAATAGATGGCAACGTCAGACAGTGAATATAGTTCAAGTTGGGATACATAAAATTATTTCATTTTAAGCAACTGGATGCTAAACTTTTAGCTTTCGTGTGTCCCCTGCAGGTAGTGGAGTTCATGCCAAGAAATCCGACACTGAGAACAATTCTGAAGGAGAGCTAGTCTTGGAAGTAGTCACTATTTTATAATACACTATGTAGTATCACTAAGAATAAAAAGATAGATAGTTTTGATGGAAATCATATATCCATTTTTGAGACAGGATAAAGGGGAGCTCAGATACTACTGTTTCAAGGGCCTTATATGTACCTAAGTAAATATATAAAGAAAGAGGTTAGAGTTGATAGGTTCTATCATTTCTGAAATAGACAAACTTCCAAGGATGCCAGCTTTTTTTAAAATCAACAATGTTTAATTGTAATGTGGCTATCTAGAGACTGGAAAGTTTTGAACAGTTAGATTTATCCATCCTTGTTCGCAAATTACAGGATCTCTCAAATTGCAAACTAACTGATGTTTGCTCAATTTGTCAGAACAGATGTTTGATTTTCTTGCTAATTAACATCTTAACCATAGTTTCCAGCTAACCGTCCTCTTAGAACAGGGCAGCCTGGGGGGGGGGGCAAGTGGGGCAATTTGCCCCAGGCCCCGGGCCCCACAGGGGCCCCCACAAGAATATAGTATTCTATAGTATTGCAACTTTTTTTTATGGAAGGGGCCCCTGAAATTGCTTTGCCCCAGGCCCCCTGAATCCTCTGGGCGGCCCTGTCTTAAAAATAAAGTGTGTACATGGTAACATGACAGACTGTCACTTTTTCTTTTTTGTTTTGAAACTGTTGTTTAATATGGAGTTCATTTTATCAATGCAACTCTTCAGATATGATTTAAGCAAGTAATTGCAGAGTATTTAAAGTTATAAAAAATCCAAACAGATCTCTCTCATATTTCAGACATTTCCAAGATATCTCAGCTTATACACTGTATAAGCACCAACAGCAGCTATTGGGACAGCATAAAAATTACAAAGAAAGTGCTTTCTTCTTGCGTTTCTCCCGTTCTTCGTGCTCTTCTTATTTCTTGTCATCCCTACCAGATAGTTAGGAAAGAAAGAGTTACTGGGGAAGTGTTTGCAGAAAAGCTGGATTTTGGCATTTTGATCTGAACTTGGGCTTAGCCTGATTATTTCTGACACAAAGTTCAGCAACCAAGGACTTGCTGCTAAGAATGCTCATCCTACAGCATCTACATTTTTAAATTCGGGAATTTTCTAATTGCATCATCCTTCTAGATCCTGTCTTGCCAGGTTGTGAATGGTAGCGTGGTCTTTAAGATAGCCAAGCCCAAACCTGTGACGGTCTTGGTAGAACACTACTAGGTTAGAATTTGGTCTGCAAGTACACTGTTGGATGTCACTAGCATTCATCATAGAACACAAGCAACAGGTATATGTGTGTCTGCCTGTTTAATCTAATCATCAGTGTACAGATTTGTATTGTGCCACTCTTTGTAGCAAGTTGAAAGTTCAGAAGGACCTTGTTCTCTGCTACCTTAGGTGAAAATATACACAGCTACACATCATCAAGCAAAGATCTCAGTAACAAGGTTCTTGTGCAAATGGAAAGGTTGCAGCCTACTGATTAGCTGACGATGGAAGAAAGGATTCTTACCATTAGATGCAGTCCCTAAGGCTGAGTTTGGAAACCAGGTTCAGATGTCGGGATACAAGCTACTAAAGGAAAGTGTCACCATGGGAAAAGGAAACTGGAGTACTGGATTGTGGTGGGCTAATGTAATGTCTGTCAACAGTGACAGGCACTGAGGAAAAACTATTTGAAAAATAGTTATATGGGACTGAGGAAGAAAGGCATGTTTTGATATTGTTCCCATTTGACTAGGAAGCACTTTCTAAGAAAGCATGTTACAGTCCTGTACAAATATAACAAATAAACCCTTCTTACCTGATCTATATTCATTCTGGATTTCCTCCAGCTCATTCCAGATCTGTCTTTCAAATCTAGTAATTCTTGCATGCAGTTTAGTTTCATATTTTTTCACCTGGCTCAGCACCATTTCATATTGCTGTGGTTTATTGGTGCTCTCTAGCTTTAGCGAGAGGTGCACGTTTTCTTCCAGTTTCTTTTCTGCTGCTTCCTTTTCAATAGATATCATGTGAACGTCACATAAATACCAGTCAATAAGGCTAGGTCTACACTTACAGCAGTCTATAGAATACATACACTGCACACCAACCTAACATGAGTATAAATAGCAGTGTAGACTGTGAGGCATTGCTTAGGTGAGTAAGACACGCTAGAACCATAAGGTATATACCCTATATAGTTGTCTACACCCCCAAGTAGTGCCTCCCATGTTTACACTTCTTGTTTTTAGCAGTGAATATCCCACTGCCTCCCTGCTGTGGGAGCCTTTCCCGGCTGCAAGAAAAGGCTTTGGCAGTGGGGAAAAGATTCTGGCAGCCCCGCACTGCTGGAGCTTTTGCCCACTGTCAGAGCCTTACTCTGCCCTGTGTAGTTACACATACCCTGCATGCCACCGTCAGTGTTGAGAGGGCCTGAGAGGATTACATTGCTCACCAGAAAGTTGCCTCTTGGCCGGCAAGCATGAGTTAAACCAGTTTTCTTTACCTTTGAAATCTGCATAGACAATATTATATGAACTAAATAAAACTGCTGGAGCCTTACATCCTTGCAGGATATTCTCCAACCCATCCCCATCACCATCGCCCCCTAACCGAGATTCAGGGGGTGAGACAGGGTGGAATGGAGGCTGGTACAGGACATTTTTAAAAAAACCCAGCAATTTAGTCCATGTTTCACTTTGGAATAAATTATTAGAAACTAATTCACACTCCAGTGCAGCTTTCCGTTAATGTGCTTTTCTTACACAAAGCTTCCTAGCCCAAAGTGTAAACAATAAGGAGCAAATCCAGAGACCAGTGCCCAGCATGAATAGCCAGGCTAGAGCTGAAGTAGATGTACAATTAGGGGCTGGAGAGAAATCCTTTCCCACATAAGTGCCTACTGGCTGCAGTAGCCTCTAAAGACTATTACACAGCCTCTGTGGGGCCCTCCGCCACCTCCCCCTTGCTTTGCACACTGCAGTACAGGGAGCCCTTGTAGCTCAGAGCTCTGTGTCACACTATGGTCAGCACCCCCTGGTCTTACACAGCAGAATGGCATGTTTCTGCCGCCAGGGGACCCTGCAAGGCTGCAGAGGCAGTGGCAGGATTTGCCTCAAAATTAAAATGTTTACAAACATAGCAGTGTTGTTGAAACTACAGTTTAGTGTATTGGTTTAAACAATCTCTTTGCATGTACAAATATTGAAATTATATACAGGTGGCTGATGAAGTGAGTCATCTCCCAGAATAACTACTGCTGTTCTGCACTCATTAAACAGCTCCATCCTATAGCATGTAAACTTCGAGCCTAATCTGTGCTCAAGTTCATACAGCTTCTGTATGTCACATGAGTGAAGAGTAAGCAATTGTATCCTCTCTAGGTTTTAAAATGTGCGGCACCTGGACAACGGGATGTAACGGTTGGCTTAGCAGTTACGGCCTGATCCTGATTGGTGTCAAGTACCCCCACAAAGATACGATCTAAACTTTAGTGAGTAGCTTTGAACACTCCATCCTCCCAGATACACTGCTGTTGAGGTTCTGCTTTGAAGATTCCTCTAAGTCCCACCCAGACAACTGCATTTCCAGCTGTGTTTTCATGAAGCAGCAATAACCACCAGTGGACAGTTTGGCTACTCCAAAGTAAGTGTGTATGTAAATATGCTCTGCCTTATTTCTTCTATTCAAAAAATAGTGCTGCGAGCTCAGCTAATGCGAACGCTGTATGTTTTGGCACAACTTTCATACGATCTCTTTCCACAGAGAAAATAGCACTACACATAGGTGTCTTGTCTGCAAAACACACATGAAAAAGCTAGTATCAGAGGCAGCAAATAATACCTCAAAGCTGCTGTGTTTTATAGGGCTGGAAATATTTTCAGTGTCTTCTCTATTGCACACCCAAGATCATACCTGCTGCTGCTGCTGAGAATCATAATCATGTATTTGATATTGAACCCTGCAGCAGGATGTAGTGTATTTATCAAAAGGCCAAAAAAGCTTTCCAGACATTAAAAGAACTAATTAAAATTTATTACTCGAGTATCAATTCCCAATTATTCCTATTAGGGCTGTCACTTAGTTGCAGTTAACTCACATGATTAACTCAAAAAAATTAATTGCAATTAAATTAATCGTGATTAATGGCACTGTTAACAATAGAATACCAATTGAAATTTGTTAAATATTTTGGATGTTTTTCTACATTTTCAAATATATTTATTTCAATTACAACATGGAATACAAGTGTGCAGTGCTCACTTTATATTATTTTTATTACAAATATTTGCACTGTAAAAGTGATAAAAGAAATAGTATTTTTTAATTCATCTCATACAAGTACTGTAGTGCAATCTCTATTGTGAAAGTACAACTTACAAATGTCGATTTTTTTCTTACATAACTGCACTCAAAACAATGCAAAATTTTAGAGCCTACAAGTCCACTCAGTCCTACTTCTTGTTCAGCCAATTGCTAAGACAAACAAATTTGTTTACGTTTACGGGAGATAATGCTGCCCTCTTCTTATTTACGTCACCTGAAAGGGAGAACAGACATTCACATGGCACTTTTGTAGCCAGCATTGCAAGGTATTTACATGCCAGATATGCTAAACATTCGTATGCCCCTTCATATTTTGGCCACCATTCCAGAGGACATGCTTCCATGCTCATGATGCTCATTAAAAATAATGCATTAAACTTGTGACTGAACTCCTTCGGGGAGAATTGTATGTCTTCTTTTTACAGATTCAGACTAACACGGCTACCCCTCTGATACATGTCTTCTGCTCTGTTTTACGTGAATTCTGCCATTTATTTCATGTTATAACAGTCTCGGATGATGACCCAGCATGTTGTTCGTTTTAAGGACATTTTCACTGCAGCTTTGACAAAATGCAAAGAAGGTTTCTAAGATTTCTAAAGATAGCTGCAGCACTTGATCCAAGGTTTAAGAATCTGAAGTGCCTTCCAAAATCAGAGGGATGAGACGTGGAACATGCTTTAAGTAGTCTTAAAAGATCAACACTCTGATGCAGAAACTACAGAACCCAAACCACCAAAAAAGAAAATCAACCTTCCGCTGGTGGCATCTGACTCACGGGATGAAAATGAACATGCAGCGGTCTGCACTGCTCTGGATCATTATCAAGCAGAACCCATCATCAGCATGGACATGTCCTCTGGAATGATAGTTAAAGCATGAAGGGACACATGAATCTTTAGCGCATCTGGCACATAAATATCTTGCAACGCCAGCTACAACAATGCCATGTGAATGCCTGTTCTCACTTTCAGGTGACATTATAAACTAGAAGTGGGCAGCATTATCTCCTGCAAATTGTAACCAAACTTCTTTGTCTGAGCGATTGGCTGAACAAGAAGTAAGTCTGAGTGGACTTGTAGGCTCTAAAGTTTTACATTGTTTTATTTTTGAGTGCAGTTATTTTTTGTACATAATTCTACATTTGTAAGTTCAACTTTCATGATAAAGAGATTGCACTACAGTTCTTGTATTAAGTGAATTGAAACATTTTTACAGTGTAAATATTTATTATAAAAATAAATATAAAGTGAGCACTGTACAGTTTGTATTTTGTGTTGTAATTGAAGTCAATATATTTGCAAATGTGGAAAACATCCAAAAATATTTATATAAATAGTATTCTATTATTGTTTAACAGTGCGATTAATTGCACAATTAATCGTGATTAATTTTTTTAATTGCTTGACAGCCCTTATTCCTATGAAATTTTACATTTGGTAAGATGTAGGTTCTGAACTGAAACGGGTTTATGAAATTCTGTATAGACAAATTTTGTACATCCTATAAATCATGTATGTGATTTTAAATGTGCACTAGAGATCTTTGAGACTTGTGTTGGTAAGAACCAAAGGAAGAAGTTTGCTAAATATATTGCATTCTCTCCAGAACTATTCTTGGGCTGCAAAGAAAGAATCCTTAATGCAGCTGGAAGGATGTTATGCTAGTTTGATTCAGCAGTCTAACAAACTAAATCTTCATTTCCTGACCCTGAGAACAGGGATTTTTTTGAAGCTAAGCACTTATACTTAAGAATGCTTCGGTGCCTTACACAATCAAAGTGGCTCTGGACCTTTGGTGCCTGAGCTCAAAGTGTATAAGTTCAGGATGTGAATTTTGGTACTTTGAACTGTGGGCAGTTTACCATTGATAGGAGAGTGCTGGTATGGTTGGGTGAACTATGACTCGGTCCATGCAGGGGGGCGGGGGGAGGCACAGAATCCAGAGTTAAAGGAATAGCTAAAATAAAAAACGTACTGCATTTGTTCTCAGGAGAATATTTCAGTTCATAGAAGGACATTGTCTACTGTATATCTTGGTAGTAATTTTGAATGTACTGATCCCAAATATTACACAAAATGAAAAATTGATTTGTTGGGCACTGCATTACCAGGGCTTCTATCACTCCTGCAAGCCTTCTCTTATCTGCATCAGTTCTAACTCTTTGCTCATCTTTCATAGTCTCCTCAGTTTGCACCCCTTTCTCTCCCTTTCAGTTTCTCAGTCCTTTCATCCTCCCTGCATTCTTCAGTTTTATTTACCCTGTTCCCTCCCCCCCCCCCTGCTTCTTGTCTTCCGGGGGCTCTACTGAAAGGGTGATTTCAGGAAAAATATTTTGCCAGACTTCAGGTGGAAGAATTTGTTTGTTTTACCTAACCATTTTGAAGCTTTAAACACCGAAGTCCTTCAGCTATTTCTAAGATGATGGGGAGGAAGCAATGTATTTAATTTTCTAAAATGCTTCATCTGAATACGATGCTCATTGAAGGAGCAAGTATGAGATAGCTGGAGTCCTCCGTTTATTCATAGCACAGGTTCAGCATGGATGGGAACAGCATGAGCTTCTCCATTCTGCTCCAGCCATGTGTCTCAGCTCTGTCTGTCAGGTACCACTTGTGTAGAATGCCCTTGTCCATTTGGTCCTTGGTTTCTCTGATGAGAATGTCTGAGGATGCCAAATGTGGTGGTGTTTTTTGTGATGTGGACAAATGTCCAATGAAAAATAGACTTAGACCACCAAGCACATAGACCATTAAACGATCATCAGATAGTAGATTTTGGTCAGTACCACTGTAAGATGGATTTGAATTGACACCATTGAGACAAAAGTTTTTATATTGCATTACCAGCCCATTTCCATTCTTCCGTCATTTTACTGACAGAATTATGCTTCTGGGGCTTAAAGGTTTTGCAGTTTGTTTTGGATTTTTTTTTTTGACATTGCATCTCTGGAAATTTTTACAGAATCAAAAATCTTTGGGGTTTCTCTTGTAATTAGTCTTGGGAGGTCTAGAAATCTATACTGATTTTATCAGTCTGGGATTATAAAACATCTTACCAGTCTCTCCTTTATTGCGTTAAGAAATTGATTTGTATTGTAGGCTTGTTCTTGTTCAGATCGCCTCAGTTGGGTTTCTGTCCACTTTTGTTGGTCCTGAATTTGGTCCCGGAGGTCATTTAGAAGACTATTCACCCTAATATTAAGAAGGATTAATCTTTTAGTAATAAACCTGAGTTTTAGTCAATGTTATGTGAAAACCTTAGTCACTTGAGTAAATTGTTTTTAACATGTCCGGCTGGCTTAGTTCTGTTGTCATCTGGGGGAGAAGATTGGAGAAGTGAATATGCATAATAGTTTATTTTCCCATTCCAATCAAATTTACTCTTGAAATGGATTAGTTCCATCCATTTCTGGTTGTACTAGGGATCCAACAGGATGTGGTCACTACAGTATCAGGCTGAGCATACCCTATGTTGTTGGCACCAGGAAGAGCAGCAAAGTCAGGACTGAGCTGGAAATGGAAACAGAAACATGAAAAGAGAGAAGAGAAGCTTGAGAGAGTATAAGGAGACGAGTTTGCCTTGGGGGCATATGGAAGTCTCCCAAAAGACACAGAATAAAGTCCAGAGAGCAGACAAAAGGGTGTGGGGGGGATGGGAAGGGGTCTTGCACACAGAGAAGGGTCTTACAATGTAGAGAGATCAAAATATAGGATCTTGGGAGTAGAGAGCAGGCCCGGGGTGGGATTGAGGCTCACAACAGCTCAGAAATCCGAGCTGTGAACAGTGTCTAGTTAGAGGGGGCTGTGTGCTTTGTTCTTTTTATGCTGCAACATGTGATATAATGTACATTGTGAGACATATTACAGAGATGATTTTAGGACCAAGTTTCAGTTATAAATGTAAATTTCCAAGCTTTGTGGGTGATCTGACCTTAAAGTGTTAGAAAATATTATTTTCTATGCTAATTTTGACATATTTGTTCTCCTGTAAACATTGACTCCTGGAATTCTAATTTGAGCGGTACTACTGAGTAAGTGCACAGCTTTGGGGCAAGCCAGCTGGGCATCTTTGTACCTCAGTCAAAATATAAAACAGAAGCTTATAACTAAGCATTCCTGAAAGGCACATTTACTTGTAATTCTAAAGTACAAATATTATCCTGAAAAAAATCAAGCGTTGGGTGAAAGGAAAAGAGTTCCTCCCCCCCCCCTTTTTTTTTTAAACACAATGCTACAGATACAGTGTTATTAGTCCTATAGTAGAGGTAATGGTAATTAACAGTAACAGATTTTGAAAATAAGAACAGAGCAATAGTAAATGACTTGCTATTCATGGAATTTGACAGCAGTTCTTGCCTGTAGCTCGCACCTTATCAAGAGCTATATAAAATAATGCATTGGGTCATTTTTCGTTATTGCTAAACAAACAAAAAGCAATTGCAAGAGATTTGTTCTGAAAGTTCAAGAATGAAAATGTGAGCAATTTTGATTTATATCTTTTGTAATCATCATGGATTTCTCTAGTATCATGGCCATGGACTCACTCTCTGGAAAAAGGAGCCCCCCATTTATCAAGAAAAACATAGCAGTTTTGTACAAGTATTTTAACAAGGTGCTCTCACAAGCACTTTTCCCCATAGTCAGTGATAAGCCAGGGATGAATATTCTTACAGAAAAGAGTGGTGAGGGATCAGAGAATCAGTTCATTCATTTCCTCTGCCCACTTAAGAGCAATAAGGTTCCTCATAATCCCGCAGTCTTGCCTACTTATAGCTATTCAAAAGACTGCTGCAAATATTTTCCTGGCTCATTGTTTCACCGCAACATCTCTCTTTGCATCCCTCCACGGGTTCCCCTTTCTTAACTCAAACTACTCGTCTCTGCTTTAAGGCCCGTCGTGGTCTATCCCTGCCTTACCCATCATCTTTTATATTACTATTGAGACACCCACTCCTGCCTCCACTATACCAGTGTTCATCATCCATTTATTACATTTACAGAAAGCATCTTCACATTTCCTCCCTTGCCATCCCTCCCGCATAAAAGATCCCTGTAAACAACCACTAAGCCACCTCATTGGCCTCCTTCAAAGCCCCCCTCTGCATGATGCCTATAAAAAAAACACTTCAACAATGCTTGGGTAGTTGGCATGCTGTGACCATTTCTGCTCATACTTATCAATTTCACTAGTCTAACTATTTCTTTGTGCTTCCCCACTGTCTGTTGTATCCACCTGTTATCTCTTGTTTTACTGTTAGCTCTTTGGGTGAGGGACAGTATTTTCATTGTGTTCTATAGTACCTAGTATATCATTGGGGTCCCTAGGTACCACTGAAATGCAAATTGTAATTAGGAAGGTAAGCAACACCACTTGGCAAACAAATTTATATTAAGTGCATTTCCTGGAAATGTTTATACTTGCTCCTGAAAAAATACACTGAGTGTATTGATATCATACAGATAGTATAGCACAGTGGTCAACCTGAGTAATTTAAAGGAGTCAGGAGGGGACATATAATTGGTATTACTGAAAAATGAGGGGGTGAGTCACTTGACTGGAATGCTAAAGCTCATATTTAGGAAAGAGAGTGGGCAGAAGAGGGTGGAGGAGAATGGCATTCTATGTCAAAGATACCATTACATGCTTAGAATTATTGACAATTCAGAAGGGCAGGATCTGTTATACGTACAGATCAATGTGCTAACTGATAAATCACAAGATGGGGAATTTGCCTGTACAAGTTATGAATTCTGGTTGAGGATATAAAGTTGTTCTTATGAAATTACTGTATTTTTGAATACCTCTAAGTGCATGTGGCTCCCACCCTTGCTGACATGGGCTGTGTCATATCCTTCCCTGACCAGGTACAAAGATGTTAACCGCCTGTTCAGGTGGAAGCATCTTGAGACAACAGGTTAGCTCAAGCCTTGGAGAACCTGTCTTATCCTATCTCTCTGCAGGGGGCTGGTGAAGGAGAGAAGAGTAGAAAATTCCCAGACAGGACAAAGAGAAAGAGATGGCAAAGATTTTGAAAAGGACGTGTGTGTGTGGGGAGGAGATTCTCAGAGTCACACAGGAAGCTTTGGGCAGGACCAAGGAGACGAGATGGGTGTGCTTTTTTTAGTGGGTTGAGGGGGCAATTTATCTGTGGAACCAACCAAGATCAAAACAAGCTGGCCTGCAGAGCGAGCAAATGAGAGAGATGCACTAAGGTTCAGATGATAAGTCATGCCGCTGAAGGGGAAGGGTCTTGGGTCTCCCAGAGGACCCTGGCCCCAGCACAAAGAATGGTCCAGAGTGGTGAAGAAACTGAGCGAGGTGGGAGGGGAAGCGTGTAGCATTTATTATTTTTGTCTAGATCTGTAAATTTCTCATGCTACTAAGTAAAGATCAAATGTATTTTAGACTCCTGTGCAAAGTGTCTGTTGTGTATACATCTCTCACATACCCCTTGAAGAGGTAAACTGTAAACCTAATGGGTGTGTTTAAGTTATGGGGGAACCAGAAGTGTCACCACTGGTAACAGGGATTGGGCCAGAGGCTGTTCAAGACAATCTGCCCCTCTAGGCAAAACTTCAGTGTGAACCCCCCTTCACCTCCTAGAAAAGGCACGTTGGACTTTTTTGGTGGGGAGTCTTCCAGTGATTGTAGTAGAAATGGGGGAGCCAAGTGCCAGGTCACAGTGCCACTCACTCAGGTTTGACCCGGTGTTCCTCCATCATGATGTGGGGAGGGGCCAGGTGGGTAAAATTTGAGTGAGCGGCGTTGTGACCTGGTGCACATGGTTGCAGCACTGTTCAGGTTTGGCCTGGCTGCCATGACACCCTAGGCAGCTGCCTAGTTTGCTTGTAGCTAGAGCAGCCACTGGGCTGGGCAGCTGGACAATGGCACTGCAGGGTCTCAGTTCTCAGAAAGGCTATTAAGCAAGGGATCCTCACTGCGAGTGTGAGCCTAGACACCTCAAGCTGGGGCAGTGCCTGGTCTCTGTTCAGAGTCTGGAGGGATTCAGCATTTGGATCCCCTCAGAGCAGTCTAGTGAGCGTCCAGGAGGGGAAGCTCATCTAGAGCTGTGACAGGAGGTTCTGTTACCACCGAACCACACAAACATAGGGTGAAAAGCTCCTTAAACATAGTCTTATAAAATGTAGAAAGAAAAATGTGAGATAATTTTTCTAACACAAAGTATTGTAACCAAGGTAATTCTAAAGTAGACCTCACTCTGATCAATAAAGATGAATTGGTCACTCCACTAAAAATTGATGGTTGCCTAGGTGCAAGTGATCATGACCAGCATAGGTTTCCTGATGCCCTGGCATAACTACACTGCCTGCTAGACCTAAAGTTCCACCTATTCCTCACTCTTCCTGCCTACCTGCACAAACGGGTAAAGCAGCATCACTGGAGCCTGCTTCCCTTCCCATGCTGCTTCCCATGGCGTAGGTAGCCAATGCAGGGTATGAGGAGAGTACCTTGATTTCCTGTATGCCCCTGTGCTGTCACATTAGCAAGGCTGCAAGTCAGCCATAAATGTTATGGTAAATTGAACAGACGTATCCAATGCCTTTCTTTAAGTATGGTAAGCTTCATTGGCTTTTGTATTTGTTGTTTCTTCTGGGGTGGCATTTAGTGTCTCTTCATTTTAAGGATTAGGTGTAAAATGAATGTTCTTCAATTCTATATTTTTAAATTATGACTATATTGTGTATGTCTTGTCTCAGCATTTTTGAATGTATATAAATCAGTTTGTTTTGCTGTTTCATGCCAGACTAAAGCATTCAGAGTCCATTAATATAATTAAAAACTTTCCATCACCTACTTGAAATCCAGAAGTTGCAATTCATGGTGTTGATCCCCCTGGACTGTCTTTAAATGAGAGCTTTGCTCAGAGTTGGAAGTCTCGATCTTGTCTAATAGCCGCATTACCTAATGAGAATTCAACAGGGAACGTTTTCATGAGCCAAACTATCAGCACGTACATTAACTACACATTATTGCTACAGGAGCTGGGAAATCAGCCTGAACTTAAGGTGGGTGTGCAATGGAAAGTGCTTTTTCCAGAATTAATTTCACTGAATGCTAAAGGCTAGCAGTCAAACTTCCGGCTGTATACTCTGTTCTCTTTGAACCTGATTCTGCAAGATGTGGACCACCATTTAACTCCCATTGATGTCATTGGGGACTGAGCCCTTTATAAGGTAAAATTCTTATATACGGCTACTTATCTTGGCTCCCAAGTCTATTTACAACCCATGATGATTCACCGGTAGCATTCTTTGTAGCATTCCAAATACTTGGTGCTAAATGATGGTTTTATGTAGAGAATCCAGGTCTACCTAAATTGGGAGATCAAATCTGAGAAAATTTGGAATACCAAGAGTTCGGTTATGTTCACTACACTTGGCAGATGAATTTAATTAGGCCCTAATGTAAAGGCTTTTTTGAAGTTCATGCAAGACTTTAATCATGAGCTAAAAGTCATCTACTAGGAAATTATAATCCATTTGACAATTAGAAAACTATACATGGCAAATGTAATCCCAAACTCTACAGGGCCCAATTCTGCCACTATTATTTACTGTTAGTACCTTAATCCATAGGAGTAGTCTCATTGAAATCCACGGGACTATTTAAGGTGAGTAAAGATGGGGCAAATCACACCCACAGTGATTACATTGTTTTCTGAACATAAGAACAGCCATACTGGGTCAGACCAGTGGTCCATCTAGCCCAGTATCCTGTCTTCTGACAGCAGTCAATGCCAGAGGGAATGAACAGAACAAGTAATCATCAAGTGACCCATACCCTGTTACCTATTCCCAGCTTCTCGTAAACAAAGGCTTGGGACACTTCAAAGCATGGTTTTGCATCACTGCCCATCCTGGCTAATAGCCATTGATGGACCTATCCTCCATGAATTTATCTAGTTATTTTTTGAACCCGGTTATAGTCTTGGCCTTCACACACCCCCCGGCAAAGAGTTCCACAGATTGTGCATTGTGTGAAAAAAATATTTCCTTTTGTTTGTTTTAAACCTGCTGCCTAGTAATTTAATTAGGTGACCACTAGTCCTTGTGTTATGAGAAGGAGTAAATAACAGTTACTATTTTACTTTCGCCACATCAGTCATGATTTTATGGATCTCTATCATGTACCCTTTAGTTGTCCCTTTTCCATGCTGAAGAGTCCCAGTCTTATTAATCTTTCCTCATATGGAAGCTTTTCCATACCCCTAATAATTTTTGTTGCCCTTTTCCAATATATCTTTTTTGAGATGGGGCAACCACATGTGCACACAGTATTCAAGATGTGGGCATACCATGGATTTATATAGAGGCAATATGATATTTTCTGTCATCTTATCTGTCCCTTTCTCAATGATTCCCAACATTGAGAACTTTTTGGACTGCCCGCTGCACATTGAGTAGATATTTTTAGAGAACTATCCACAATAACTCAAAGATCTCTTTCTTGAGTGGTAACAGCTAATTAAGACCCCATCATTTTGTATATCTAGTTGGGATTATGTTTTCTAATGCATATTACTTTGCATTTATCAACACTGAATTTCATCTGCCATTTTGTTGCCCAGTCACCCAGTTTTGTGAGATCATTTTGGACAGTCTGCTTTGGACTTAACTATTGTGACAGAATGACCAATGTTGGTATGGTGGGTCCCAGGCTTTTCTTGGCAGGGGGCTAATACACCACCCCTTGCCCCTGCTCTTGGAGCACCAAGGACCCCACCTGGCCCAGGAAGGTGGTAGAGGAGGGAAGCAGGGGAGGAGAGGTCTGGGTTTGCTCCGCACGCTGAGCCCCAGCCCCTCTCAACCCCTGCAGGTTTCTTACCCTCTTCCCCCTTGGGTAGGGTTACCCTCAGTCCTTGATGCTGGGGCTGGGTCTCCCTTCTTTCAGTTTTCTGGTTTTTCAAGTCTTATCAACACACCTATAAACTCCATGCCTCTTTCCTACCTCACACACCCTGGCTGCCTGAATCAGGGTTTTTTTATTAGGTTCCTGACAGGGCCTTAAGTGACTACAGGTGGTCCAATTAACCTGTAGCAACTCTCCCTAGTCTACAGGGAACCACACCTTAATTAACCTAGAGCTTATATATCTCCCCTCATCCACTTTCTCACTCCTGGCCCTCCTGTATCACACAATATCTTGAGTAGTTTTGTATCATCTGCAAATTTTACCCCTCATTGTTTATGCCTTTTTCCAGATCATTTATGAATATGTTGAACAGTATTTTCCCCAGGACAGACCCCTGAGGGACACCGCCATTTACATCTCTCCATTCTGAATACTGACCATTTATCCCTACCCTTTGTTTCCTATCTTTTACATACTGATCCATGAGAGGACCTCCCCCTCTTGTCCCATGACAGCTTACTTTGCTTAAGAGCCTTTGGTGATGGACCTTGTCAAAAGCTTTCTGAAAAGCTAAGTACGCTATATCCGCTGGCTCACCCCTGTTCACATGCTTGTTGACCCCCCCCTACTCCCAAAAGAATTCTAGTAGATCAGTGAGGCATGATTTCCCTTTACAAAAATCATATTGACTCTTCCCCAACATATTGTGTTCATCTATGTTGTCTGATAATTCTGTTCTTTACTATAATTTTCCAATATAGTTTTCCGATCAACAGATTAACTTGCATTCAGACTCTGTTCTTCTGCATTCTGTTTAGGGTCATACTGTGAGAAGAAATGTTTTCTCTTCAGTGGACACTGTTGTTCCATTTTCTGCTTAATATCTCTATATGAAGTGGCTGACTTGGTTTTTACATAAATTTGTATGCTGCTTCATGTGATTTTAGCACACACCTGTTCTGCTTTTGATTTAGTAGGGAGACAGGATGTTTTTACATGTATTGAAAGAGACAGATTTCCAAACAGTTTCTTATAATACAGGTAAAATATCTTCATCTGAACTGTCATGGGTAATTCTGCCTTGGAGCAGATGAAGCTGATATTTGCACTGTATGAAATGACTGGAAGCTTGTCTTACATAGAAGCACATGCATGCAGAATGCAGTGAAGTGACTATTTTAAATAAGGAAATTAAAGACTAAGGTATAATAAATTTAATCTAAATAGCAACCTCTAATGAATATGATGGGTACTCTCTGGGGTGGAAGGAGGGACCAACAGTTATTACTTGGTAAGAGCCAAATTACCCTGTGTAAAGATACTATTTATGTGCTCAATCCCGCATGATGCTGATCAGCCTGTATTTATATTGAAGGCAAAGGGAGTTGAGGATGCTAGTCTCTCACAGGAGAGGCCGAATGCTAGGAATACTATACAGCACAATTTTTCCTGTTGGCTGTGAAAATATCAGTACATCCATGCTATATACAGATATACACAGCAGAAAAAAATACTTTAGCAGAAAAAGTGACTGACAAAAGTGAAAGTTTTACTCTAAGAATGACAAGTTCAAGAGCACTTTGGAATGGTTCCAAAATTTGCATGGTTAATTTAAATATGGAGATATACCTATTTCCTAGAACTGGAAGGGACCTTGAAAGGTCATTGAGTCCAGCCCCCTGCCTTCACTAGCAGGACCAAGTACTGATTTTACCCCAGATCCCTAAGTGGCCCCCTCAAGGATCGAGCTCACAATCCTGGGTTTAGCAGGCCAATGCTCAAACCACTGAACTATCCCGCCCCCTGATGCACTTAAGCAACTAGATCTGTCCCAGCTACTTCTGAAGCTGAAACTAAAGAATAAAATCCTGGTTTCCTGTGGTATTTTCCAACTTCAAAGTCCTTGGATCTGGAATTTCAAGATGCATTTTAAAACAAGACGGGGCTCGAGGGTCTAAGGTTTGTGTAATGAAATATTATTAGCAAATTATAATGTGATTTTTTTAAATATTTCATGATCCGCACATCCCAGGAGTGCATTGTTTAGTTTGTATTACTCCTTAGTGTGTGTACACTCCCATCCATGCTATTGTATAATGTTACTGGAATGGAAAGGGACTTGTTTAAACAAATAAATAAACCAGTGTCAATATCACATCCACCATTAACATTGGTCAGCAGTTGTGATGAGAAAAGATAATTTATATGCATATCTTACAGCCAAAATATCTTCTTTTTTCATTATGTGTTCAGCTGCTCACCTTCATCTCTAAATTATTAGCATAACTTTCCGAGGTAGAGCGGATGCCACCAATCCCTTTCTCTAGCCTCTGGATCTCGTGCCTGATTATATTTATGTCTCCAGATAGCTTTGCAATGCTCGCATCACATCTAGAATAAAAAAAGAGGTTAACTACAAAACATGAAGTGTATCAATAGTAGAATAATGTTATTTTTGCACTTGAAGACAATTGATAGCCTCAACATGCCACTATTCAATTGCCCCATGTCCCCTGGCAGCATCCTGACTGGTGGCAGGATAGGCTGGGCTAAACATTGATACAATAATCAAGATACCAACCCTGCTTCCAGTGCTGGTTGCCTAGGGAAATAATTTCTTTTCTGCAATAATTGAAGTCAATGGGAGTTGAAGGCAGTCAGCATTTGGCCCTGTGAAGCATAGGGCTGATATGCTGAACATCTCTTGTAAACCGCAGAACTCCCATTGATGCAATGGAAACAGAGGAAGCTCTGCAACTTGTAGGACTGGGTCCTCTATGTTTTGTACAATGAAATAATCCAAGAAGTAAAGAGTTAAATGAGCTCTAAAATGTATGCCCATGGGCTAATTTGGAGTCCAGGTGCAGCTGTGTTTGCATTAGAAACAAATGCCTAGGAACAGATTTGATACATTGCTGCAACTGATGTTCTAGTTTGTGAATCTAGTGTACCTAGGTTGGAGGCAGATGCTAAGGAAGAGCAGTTTTAGTGCTGTTACTGACAAAAGTATACTGGTTTATAAGCAGTTTGTCACCATCTATTTTAACTCTCCCAGCTGCATTCACCAAAATCTGTGTGATGATTAAAAATGGGCAAATTATTTGACAACAACAACATTTGTTGAACAATGGAATGACTGAATAATATTTAACTAACTTGACTTTTAAGGCTGTTTAAAGTGCTGTTTCTCTTTCTCTGTAGAATCTATTATTTAATACAAGTTAGGCATTTTGTTAAGATGGTCAGGTAGAGTCATATCTACCACTTCTGTGCATATCTTTCAGCGCGAGAGGATTGGCCAATGCACCTGCATAGCGGCCTGGCGAGAGCCACACCAGACACTGCTCCACAGCATGGAAGGGAAGCAGAATGTACTTGCACCACATCTTCACAGTTGGTGCCCTTCCTTGTGCAGAATATCCATGCTGGTTTCACTGCCGTAGAGCACTCCCACAACCTCTCTGTAGGCTGCAGCAGCTTGCCCTATAGGAGGATTTTTCTATTCAAATGCTAAGAGTACTTATAATAAGATAGTTGATAGGACTTTTAAGGACACCTCATATGCAATGTAATATGAATATTGTTATAAAAGTTGAGTAAGGAAATCAACTACATTTTAAATGTTTGAATAAACTATTTTCCTAAGGACTAGACAGAGTAAAACAGGAGAAGGAGCGTCAACATTGTTGCTAGATAAAAGTCTGAAGAGAGATTTTGGTGGATGTGATTGAAAGTGTTTAAATAAAAGTTGACAATAAACCTACTCTGATGATTCTTGGATATTGTGATAGACCTCCAGAGCATTTAGATAAAGTGGAACAGGAAATGTCATTGTAGATAATAGAGACCCTGTAAGTAGGCCAGAACTTTGATCAAAAGGGATTATTGATTTGGAGAACAATTACATAATAACCAAGAAGGTGAACATATGTCTAGAGAGACAGCAGGATTGCTTTCTTACACAGCTTGTTGAATTGTTTACTTGGTCAGCAGCTTTTTTGGCCCAAACTCTGGGAAACAAGCCAAGAATAATATGAAATACAAAGCATCTATAATCTAGAGATTATGGAATTATTTGTTGTAAATTGCTTGTGAAGGCAAGAGCTAGTGGAAAAAACTCTAGGCAGGGTGAGTCCAATTTATATCTGGTGTAAGGAGGCACAACTCTCTGGAAGTTGAGAGAGCTGCTCCTGTTTATAAATTGGTCCTATAACTTTTAAAATGTTGATTTTGCTGGCATGCAGAAGGGAAAGTCAGTTTTAATTCTGTTCTATAATGTGCAGGACAGAGTTCTAAAGGAGTCAGACCATCAGGGAGAGAGCATCTATAAACAACTGACATTAAACCTGGCAAAAGATAGAAGGTCATGCAAATCCCAGCGTGCATAACTATTAATATTACCAGAGAGCCTATGAAAGTTAGGCACCCAGCTCCCATTTGCCTGTTAACTCCCTTAGACTCCTTTTTAAAATCCCAACTCTAAGCAATAAGTAGGCTTTTGAAAAATGTAAACAACATGAGAAAGATGAGGATTAAGGGCTCTGTATCAATAAGAAGAAATAATTTAAAGTATAACAAGCCAAACAAAATAACCTAAACATCAGATGCAGAGAATGTTTAATGCAGGATGTAAAAAGTACAGTCACAGCAGACGAAGGACCTGATTTTCATAATTGGGTAAAAACAACTGTGTTTGCATAACTGGTGGCTAGAACTTTGGACTGGGACCCATGAGACGTGTTCTATTTCTGGCTCTGCCAGTGGACTACTGGGTGGCCTTGGGCAAGTCACTACACCTCTCGATGCCTTAGTTTTCCCATCTATAAAAAGGGGATACTGAGTCCTCCTTTCTAAAGCACTTTGAAATTGACAGAGGAAAAGTTCTCGATAGGAGCTAGATAGCATTATTAGCAAGATTATGTACACAAATGACCAAATAGATGTCTATGGTGTTGTTTATGGATGCTGTTATTCTGGCTGAACACACAATCGCATAATAATTGTATGTGGAAAATATGTGTCTGCATTTTTGCATACATACACATGAAGATTCAGGCCTGAAGGCATACTATAGAAAGGAAAATTGCTCCCAATACTTCTGATAGTCTTAAAGGTGCCACAGGACCCTCTGTTGCTTTTTACAGATTCAGACTAACACGGCTACCCCTCTGATATATTACATTTAGACGGTTAAGGCAGATATTTGCATCTGGAGTAGCAGAGTGTATTGCTGTGATGCCTCCTTCATATTTGTGAATTGGGCATTGAGTTGTTATATGTTCCATGGTCTGTTCTGGGTGACCATGGTCACACACGGCACAGTCTTTAATTTTCCACTTGAGCAGCAAGTATCTGCATCTACTATGGTTTGTGCGGATATGGTTTAGGGTTGCCCATGAGCTCCATGGGAGATCAAAGCCAGAGATCTTCTCCATCATGTCATGTCTTTCACAAGGTGTTTATTTGTGACTTCTTGAATGCTGACTAATATAGAGGTACTAAATTGCATTTTTTCTTACAGTGGAGAGCAAAGAAATGTGACAAATCAAAGTACTATTCATGATTATAACGGTACTCAGTTTTTTCAGTACTGGGTGATTTCCCTTTTTCACTGGTTCCCAACACTGCAGGTAAAGTGCCCAATTAAGGTTCAGCATTTCCAGAGGGAGACTAGTAGTAAAAAAAATGAAAGTGCTTATGATGTGGAAATCATATAATTGTACTGCACCTTAACCTAACAGCAATTATTCATACATAACTCCATTAAAAATTGACTGTTTAAGTGCAGCTAGTAAAGGCATCCCTGGTGCTGTAACATTCACAAGTTTTGCTGAGGTTAGAAGACTTGCCCTTCTCTCTCTTTAAAAACACATGAGATCCTCGGAGTCAGTTTCTAGAACAGTACTGGTAGTGATTTAGGCCCCATGCATGTTCTGTCATTGTATATGAGCAACCATGTTTCATTTTCAGGTGTTGTTTTCTGCAGTTCCTTTAATTCCTGTGTAGAGGGGTCAGCCCAAAGCTAGTGTCAGAATCTTCTTGTTGTGACATCACAGAAATTGTCATGGGAGTGACTATTGCAGCTTCGCAGAATAGGTTAGGATATCAATGCATGGATAAGGCAGGAAGAGGAAGATGGGGCTGATTGAAAGGAAGAAAATGCTTATTTACATACAAGTATCCTAGGGGGTGGTGTTGAATTGTACTCTCCTACATGTAAAGCTTTGCAAGGGTAGGATTTAGGTGGAAATTCCTTAATGTCAAAGCCCACAGAGTTTTCAGTGCTTGCCATGGCAGCTCTGGGGGTGATCAAACACCATTGTGGGCATAGGAGTGTGGAACACTGTAAGGGATCCCAGAGATCCTACTGAGGGAGCAAACCCATGAGTCTGTGGAGGAAGAGAGATGAAATCGAGAACCTGCAGCAGGCTGACAGTGAAGCTACTGAAGCTATTCTGCTGGCCCATCCGGTGCAGAAAAACTCAAGCAAATTGTCCCACATTCAACAATAGGCTAAAGGTAGCAGCCCTTGTATTGGCCAAGGTGCATAAGGGAAAATGTGCACTGGGAGGTCACAGAGCAAGGCGTGATTAATTAGGCACTACTGGAAAATCTCAGCAGTTACTCAGTGAGCATGCTCACAAATGATTTTTCAATTGCTTAAAACTGTATTAGAGAGACAAGGTGAGTGAGGTAATCACTTTTATTGGACCAGTTTCTGTTGGTAAAAGAGAGAAGCTTTGGAGCTACTCAGAGCTGTTCTTCAGATCTGGGAAAGGTACTCAGAGCAAAATATAAGGTGGAACAGATTGGTTACTCACATTCTGAGAAACCATTCAAGGTGAAGTGGCCTGTTAGTACCTCTCCAGTCATAGTACAAAAAAGGGGGTTAGTGGGTTACAGATTGTTGTAATAAGCCATAAATCCATTGCCTTTATTAAAACCATGATTTTTAGTGTCTAGCAAGCAATGACTTTAAGCTCCCAGACTTATCTTTTGAAGGTTTTGTGCAGGTTTCCTTTGAGAACAAGGTGTGAACTGCAGTGACAAGCTAAATTGCAAGTGCAGCTGTGGATGTACACCTCAGTGGGCACTATTCAAGTCTCAACTTCAGCTGTTTTGAGTTATTTGTGTGAAAAAAGAGTGTGCCAATAATTTTTTACAATGGTACAAGTATGCTTTTCTCAGAGTTGCTTAACACATATGGCTGCATGGATTTCCCCCTAAGTTTAAAAAAACCCACCATCTTTAGGTTGTGTACAACCATGGAAAATTTCAACCCAAAGTGAAATTTTAGGACAGTTCTGAGCAACTGAAAAATGGGGTTTTGCAACCCTCTGCTTATCAAGTGACTAATATAATGGGCCAGAATCTCAGCTGGTGTAAATTGGCATAACTCCATGGACTATAATAGAAATGTATTAATTTACACTAGTAGAGAATCTGGCCCAATATGTATAATGAAAATAGGTTTCCAGCACTGCCAAGCTGGAAATTTGGCTTCCTCGGGGGCGAATACTTCACTCCAAAGGCTGGGATCCCCAAGTGCTGGCAACCTACTGCAGTTCTATCCCTGGTGTGGGAGTGAGGAAAAAGTGGTGGAGAAGAGGGAGGATTGCAGATGCATGGAATACAGAGCTCCTTGGAGCTAATTGGGACACGTTTGCTGTCAGGCCTGGTGGATGGCTAGTGGATCCATCCCTATATAATTAAACTTGTGACCGTTCCCCTTCTGGAAGGGGCATGATTCTTCCCTGGGAGTTGCTACAGCCCTAGAAGTACAATAGATTATTAGAGTTTAAAGCTAGAAGGAGGCATTAGATCACCTAGTCTCAACTACTGTATATGACAGAGACTGTCCACAATTTATGTAACACTGTTTTTTCAAGACTATGCCTTTGTAACACTGAAAAAACACACACAGAATTAAGGCCTTTCATCAGTGATCTACAACCCATCCTGGACAATGATCCCTCACTTTCACAGACCTTGGG